CCCCCCTCCCCACCCCACCCCAACCCTGCGGACGCGGCATGGCCCCGCTTCGGCTGCCAGGGCGGGGCGAGCGCTGCGGGGCCCCGAGACAGGGGAGCGGCGCAGCGGCTCACCCTGCGCTCCCCTCCCGCGATGGACATGGGCTCCTCGCCCCGGGCCGGCCCCAGCCAAACAGACGGGGACAGGCCTCCCTGAGGCCCCCGCCACACCTTCGGGCGACATCGTTGGGCCCTTGTAGCCGCCTGGCTCTTGGTTTCGAGCCGGACGCGAGCTGTCATGGCGGGGGGGGGGGCTGCGCGGGGGGGGGTGGGGTGGGGGCCCGGGGAAGGTGTGCTGCAGGCAAGGGGCGCAGCGGCCTCAGGCCGGCCGGCCGGCCGTCCTGCCAGCCCCTCGTGATGAGGGCGCCGCTCGGGCCCGTCACTGATTCAAACAAGTTAAAATCAAGCAACAGGGACAGGAGTGAAAGGCATGGGTTCAAAAGGAGCGCACCAAGGGGGGACACCGAGCAGGACACATGGGACAGCAGCACCCTCTGGCCCTCGAATGAGTCCAGGGAGTAGACCAGGGACAGGGAAGCAGCCTCGCCGGTCCCAAGGGCCCTCTTGACCCGTCTCTTTCTTGGGCAGACAGGCCATGAGCTAGGCTGGCACCAAGAGGAGGTTGACTCGGAGGTCCCGGGAGTTGGTGGTGTCGCAGATGGGGAGCAGGTAGATGAAAAAGTGCAGCCAGAACCTCAGCAGGAGGCAGCGAAGGAGCTGCAGCCTGGCACGCTCCAGGCACTGTCTGGTGTGCTTTGCTCCGTGTTCCCCCTCATGAACATATGACCCACATGCCAATCCCTGTTTTGTTTTTATTTTTCCCAAGGAATTAGTGAGCGTTACGCCTTTAGTAGCCACTATCACCAAGGGGTGCTTACAGCTCTACTCAGTGAGCTTTGGCCTGCTATCCCAAATGGCGTATCAGAAAGCCTGGTGCTCTCCAGGGAGGCATGCCCCAGGGTCTCCCTCTGCTCCCGGAGGGGACAGGAGTCAGGGACATCCCTAAACCACACCAGATCCCTGCTGTAACACAGCTGGAAGGGCAAATAACATCAATTATTCCTAATTGTCCCAAGGGAAAAGATCTTGTGCTCTGTGGGGAGAATCAGTTGCCTGTTTTTAGCATTTGAATACCACATTATCTCTCTAGCTAGCACTTCTTACCACGGCTCTTGGAGTGGGTCTGAGCAGGGGGCACCTTTAAAACATTTTGAATGCTTTGTGGCTGCCATCAGCTGACTATTCTCTGATACACTTTGCCTCTTTTGGGTGCCCATGTCTTCCCCTTCTTTGGCTACCCTCTACATGACTGCCACTGTAATTAATGCTCAGCACTAAATACATTGTTTTCATAACTAATGCTTGTGATGTGACTTGCTTTTTAATTAATTGTCAGTATTGCTCTTTCCTCCCTAATCAATTAAAGCCTTAACTAATTGTATAACTATATACCTGCTTAATTGATTTTCCTCACATTGCTGTTTTTCTTTACAGTATGTTAAAAATTAGGAGCCTAAGAGTAGGGTCTTGTTTAACTAGCCTAGTTTTCAAAAGTGCCATTCACATCACCAAGCCTGTTTAAAGCTTGCTTCACCGTTCCCTTTGCAAGCTTCTGCGGTCCTTGCCATTCTCTCTTCCCTTGTCCTAAATTGTTGCAGAAGGAAACTAATGGGGAAATTGATTGGCTTCTTCTAGGTACCCTTCTCCCTTTCATTTTCCCTTTATGTAGCTTATTTTACCTTTTCTCAGCGTGCTTCCATTACATGCTACTCAACTTTTTCCTGACCTTCCAGTAAATCTAAATTCCCAGTGACAGAAATTTAAACACGTTTCTGTTTTGAGTTGGAGTGTTCCCATGATGGTCCAGGAAATGAACGAGAGGCAAGTGATACCTTTTATTAAACCAACTTTGTAGCTGGGAAAGATGTTGGACAAGCCTTTGGGCATCAAGTGTCCTTCCTCAAGTGAATTTAGAGACCCGAGGAAGGACACTTGATACCAGAAAGCTTATCCAAGAGTTCTCCCAACTATACTGTTGCTCGATTTAAGATACTAAAAAGTCTTGCCTTTCTGTTTTAATGCATAATTGTTTTTCTTTTAAATTTATTCCAAAGGCTGCTTAAAAAAACAAAGGAAGGAAAAATAATGTTTAGCAAAACTCCTAAACTTAAAAAAAAATACTCCTTATGTCCCAGCAAAAGGATATAATACATGTGATGCTATAGCACAGCATTGCATCAGAAAGAACATATTTTGCTCTGATATTTTCTTTAAGGCCAAACACAAGCAGGAATAAATTTAGATTTTATTTATGTATTTATTTATTCATTTGTTTATTTATTTTTGCCCTGTCCCCTGCAGCCTCTGCTCCCCACACTGCCATGCCTTTGCTTCCCGCTGCTTACCTTCCTCGGGCATCTCCAGCTTCTGCTGGGGTCTGCTCCTGTTAACAGCAGGTAGCACAGCACAGAGCTCCATCCTGGCTATGCAGCTGTAGCAGCTCTTGCTCTAGCTCTAGGGCTGAAGCTGCTGCAGCTGCAACAGCTGTTGTGTGGGGCCAGAATCAGCATGTGCTCCATGCCCGCAGCTAGACGGAGCCCCAGTAGGAGTTGGTGCTGCAAAGCGGCGGGGAATAGGTAGGGAGGCAGGTGCTCAGGGGGGCAGGCACCATGCGGAGAAGTAGGTTGTGGGGGGCAGGTTAGAGGGGGACAGGTGGGAGAGCTGCAAGTTGTGGGGCAGGCAACTGGGGTGCAGGCATTGCAGGGGCAGGTGTGGGGAGTGCAGGCACAGGTATCGCAGGGGTAGGCAGCTGGGGGGCAAGTGGTAAGAGGGACAGGCAGCAAGGGACAGGAGTCAAGCCATTAGAGTCCCCTGCTGCAGCCAGGGTACAGGGTGGGGACGAATTTAAGACAACTCTCGCAAATTCGATTTTAGACATGGAAAATTATAACATTTACATATTTTCTGTGTGTAGAATCTGATTATTGGGGAGTCATCTTAAATTCAGAGTCCTTTTGGATTTGGGTAAATACGACACTCGTGACATTTAAAAAATAACCCTAAATTCTACCCATTAAAAGAAGAATACTGGGTGGTCATCTTTGTCCATTAAAAAGCAATATAAAGTGTTAATGTTTATTCTAACTTGTTGAACGCAGAACTCCTTCTTATTCAACTTCAACTCATATTAGGATACAGTATAACCTCATAAATCCGGCATGCTCGGGACTGTAAGTAAAGTGCATGGAGCAGGGGTGAGGGGAGGGGTAACAGTGGCTGGTCGCTGCCCGGCCAGCTGGACATGGAGAGAGAAGCTTGTACTCAGCGGCTGCTGCTGCATCCACCTCTCTGCACCGCTGCTCCGCATGCATCCGTAGCTCTGGGATGAGCTGCTGAAGTGCCGGCTTTCTGAGAATTCCAGATTTTTAAAACCCAGATTTATGAGGTTACTGTACCACTCTTGCCAAATATTAGTAACCTGTCCTGCCCCCCTCTGTGAAGTTCCCCAGATCTGCTGGATGAACTGTGCATATTTTCAAACTCTGCAGCAGTATGTTTAACATAACACAGTCACTGGGACTACTATAATTTTTTTACTGAGCAAACATAAACAACCTTATAGCTTTAATTTTTTAATGATGACCTCTGGATTACACAGGCCAAGGACTTCTTTCAACTGATTTATGTTTTAATTAAAAGCCTTTTTTTATATTGTAGGTAAAAGAGCCTCCTGAGATTAGTTTAGTTCTGTATCCTCGAGGATTGACTGGTAATAAAGAAAGCTATGTCAAAGTTGATTTGTGTGTCAAATGCCCACAGACATATCCTGATATGTGAGTAAACAACAAAGTATATGCTTTTCTTTATTTTCTCCTTGATAAAATTCAAATTCAAAGGTATTTTATCTAGGGGGGCAACAACAGTGATTTTTTTTTTTTTTTGAGCCGTTACCAATGGCTGATTTTTAAGGATCCATATCGGCTGATACCAATCCAATTCCGATATGCAGCTGGGCAGTATGGAGACCAGCTTGGGGCTGCTAAATCTGGTGTGGAGGAAGTGGGGGGGGGCAGATTGAGGCCCACTCAATGAAGGAGGGAGTGGGACTGGGGCAGATGCTACTCAGCCAGGGCAGGGTGGGGCATGGGACGGAGCCATGAGCTCCTCCAGGAGGGGTGGGGGGGAACCATTTCCGCTGCTGCATGCTTCCTGGGAGGGCATAGGGAGTGTGTACCCCCAGATCTGCATGGGGTGAGGATGGGCTGCCGCTGGGGGGCTGGGCCAGGCTCTTCTTGGGGCGAGCAGCAGCAGTGCTTAGTGGGGGCAGTCACCCCAAAATTTTGCTGTGGC